TCTATAGTTTTTACCTGACTTTTCTTAGACCAGAAAAATAAATCTCACAGGAAACTGAACGGCACTCACTAGTATTATCCTGACTTTATTTAAAGTTGCCTTATTTCCTTTCACGTTTTATTTTTTAACAGAACACAATTGATATGTTATGGCTTTCGCTTGATTGCCTATATTTTCCCCAGCTCTCCAAATACGCATGCTCCTCGTTTCAAGTGCAAATATGTGGCCATAAAAAACAAGTTACTGCCGTTGTGTTTCCTCATTTTTTCCCATCAGCTATGGGATTACTATTCGCTTCGCGGATGGAATGATTCCGGAACATATATATCGCCTGATTGAATACTGAGGTGAGTGAGTGACAGCGGTGGAAATGTATCACAGAGAGAAAAGTAAAAAAAAATTTAAAAGCCAAAAAAGTTGCGGATATGCGTCCCGCGTTGATATGCGTTGATTGAAGTGTAGTGTTTATTTACAAAATGTATGCGTATGTCGTGTGTAGCGCGTTATTGAACATACCTAAAATCAAACCAAAATAACTATTCTACTTGCATTGTTAACATATTTCTAGAAATTATGAGGAATTTGTTCACACCAGTTGATGGTAACGCGATCGTTAGGTAGATGTTAAATAGTGAACAATGGTCATGATTTAATCAAAAGCGCATTTTGGATGGATACATAAATGCAATCATCAAATATATGAAAATTCGAAAAGAAATAAAATAAAAAACTAAGTACTGTTGGTAATTTCACATGACTCTAGAGAGGGCCAAACTTGGTAATGAAGGCGATTAGTCGCGCGTGAGTTTTTGAGGTTGATAATCGACAATTTAAAATATGTACTTCACGTATTTTGGAAAAATGTCAGGAAATGATACACGTGACGTTTAGGAGTATGTGCTTCATAAAATGTTGCTACTCTGAACCTTTTCAAGTTTTGACTTTTCCCAGAGGCGAAGTAAAGCATAACAAGACGAGCTTTTGAATGCTGCAACTAAAAATTTGCCCGGAATTAGAAAAAAAAGATTTTCCTCTCTATCTCTGTAAATACATGGTAGAAACTAATACATTCGCGAGTGGAAAAATCAGACATCGCAGAGTTAAATTATCTATGAAGTGCATTTTGCGTGCTATTATAACACTTAAAATACGAAGAAAAAAGAAGAAAAATACCAAAACACTTATTTTTTACTTTTTAAATTAACATACCATTGTAATTGATAATTCATCGTATGCATTTTAGGTTTCAACCCATCTTCAACCATGCATTGTGATAATGTTCTTTGTTGTTTTATGTTTTGATTTATTTTAGCTTATGATATCACTGAAGATGGACTTAAACCTGAGATGCATACGATGGACTACAAATTACAATTGTACTCTAATTTGAAAAGTAAAAGAATGGGTGTTTCCTTTTCAGAGGCGGATCTAGCAAATTGGCAACATCGGATTTCCTCCATTTAAACCTATGTTGAATAATCGATTCTTGTCGGAGCACCTAGCCCCTCTAAGAATCGATACATATCCATAGGTTTAAATGGGGAAGAACAATGTTGCCAGTTTGCTGGATCCGCCAATGTTCGTTTTGTTTTATCCTTATTTTAATTGCCAGGATTAAGTCTCGGTTGGATAGGCAACTGAACTAACCGCAGGATAAAGCGTAAGGTATCAAGGCAAAATGGAGGCGTTCCAAGCCAATCTCTCGCTTCTGACGACCTGTACCAATGGGGCTGTTGCAAACTTTTGCTGGAGCAAAAATAAGAGTTGTTTCTTACGGATAATGTCTGAAAAATCACGATGAGTGCATCGGCAAACTCTGAAACGCACTCGTAACTTCAAAATCTTCGTAGCAGTTTTACGACTTTAAATTTTGAACCAAATCTTCTCCTATCGAATACGAAAAATCATGCAGAATTTAAGTTTCATGTTGACCAGCTTCTCGAAAGAAAAATAAAATTTCTAAGGAAGTCTGCAACGTCGCAAATGGAGAAACGTCGTCTCTCATTTCGCCCGATAATATGTATGTATAAAATTGAAGGCATTATTACTGGCCTCTCTCAAGTTATATTCGTCTGTAACGATAAACAATGAGACGCGCTTGCTACGGCGCGTTGATACAACTATACAACCTCGACGGATGTCCGCATTGCGTTCAAAAAATTGAAGGCGTTTTGACTTTCCTACGCCTAATACCAGTAGTTGATTCGGTCGACAAACGCGTTGGTCGGCGGTGACGGGGACTTGATGCAACTATTTAAGCTTGTTGGATATCCGTATCGGTCCGACTGAAGTGCGAATCCACGTATCTCCATTGCGGTGTTTCAAAATTTCCGTTCTTAATTCATCTTTTCCAAGAGAAACAATCGCGCTTATTTAAGCTCCCGCTTCAAAAAGGATACTACGGCACAGGTGAACATTTCGTCAAAGGAGTTGTTCAATTCAATCCTTGCTCAACATGGCCCACGCTTCATCGCGCAAGTTGAGGAGAGCACGAGGTCAATCAAGGCGGATATTTATCAACGCGAGAAAAATGTGAATGCGAACACGCCGCACCGATTGAAATCAGGTGGTTAGAATTATCGTCCCGTCACATGTGTTTTGGCGGATTGGCATCGGCTATGTTGAATATTGTTGTATCCTTGTGACTTGTGGGCAGGGGTTGGATGGGACGACTCCTCTGACGAAATTTTTACCTGTGCCGTGTTATATTTTTTTGAGTTGGGAAGCTAAAAAAAACCGCAAATTTTTTATGAAAATTGTAAGGTAAAGAGTGCATTTCAGACTTTCCCGATTCGCTCATCGTGATTTTTGAGAAATTTTCAATGTGTAACAAATCTTATTTTTGCTCTAGCTTAAGTTCGAAACAGGCCCATTGAACCATCACGTAAGCCGCTTTCAAAGGGCCAATGATTTCTAATTGCCAACGATATATCGCAGTATTCAAGTCTCTGTCGAAAGTTGTAATGATTGCAAGTATCTGAAAATATTTAAAATCGAAAACACATTTGTGCGAGCGTCATCGAAAATACGTCATGTTTTTGAGAGGGAGACTATTGGTTTTTGGTAGTCGCTCAAAAAAATCGTCCATTCGTTGACGTATAAACGTGAGCGTAACCAGTAGCGTGGCGTGAATTGCGATGTATCGATTGTTATGCCATTTAAACCTATGGTAAAGAATCGATTATTAAGGTGTTCGCTGCGAACACCCTGTTTATCGATCCTTTTCCATAGGTTTAAATGGCCGATCAATCGATATATCGCATAGCACGCCACGCCACTGAGCGTAACTGCACTTTGAGTCAAGCCGTGCCGTCCCCGTATGCCTTTATCTTTTCTAAGGCTTACGTGAGAATAGAGTTACGCTCTTACTTGAACCGAGCGACGAAATATGAATTACCTGACATCAATCACCCGGATATAGATTCGATGTCAATATTTCAGGCTCCTGAACGCCACCTTTATGCGGCAAGCGTTATTTGATATGAAATGTATGTGCCACCAGAGTGACGTCGCAACATATCTACGGCCGAGGAATATTACATTTTTCTGCGGAGCAAGCAGAGACGTCAATATAAATTTTCATGGCAATATATTTTAGAGACCGAGCTTTAACAATCTAGAAATCGTAATCGGTTCAGGCAAAACGTAAATTTAGAGGTCAACGCTACTTTTCGGGTTTTTTCCCTACTTCAAATGTCTCTGAGCGGATAAAATTACGAGCGTTACGGGGTAGCTTCCCCCTCCTTTCCTAATAAAACCAGTCCCAGGTGACCGTTGTTTAGGATCAGCAGTTATATTCGGGTCACCTGGCCGGGAATCGAATATTCGGGACCCGATCAAAGAGTAAGCGCTACAACCTCCATACCACAGGAGGCCGACACTTTGAAGAAACTGTTTGAGAAAAAAATTCAAATACAATTCGCCTTCCGGTTGTCCGGGGTCGGACACCGCAGAGACCGGGAACTGTACTGTACTGTAGGGAACGCCCTATGGGCTCGGCGATGCTCGTCCCAGGGCATCCAATTTAGAAAAAAGACTGTACAATTGTAAATATTTTTAGTCGATAAAAGCTATTTACTAATTAATGATATAACAATGTATCATATTTCTGTATAAAGAAGTCGATATGTAATAAAATAAAAAAAAAAAAAAAAATACAATTCGCCAAATGATGACTGATAAATGCCGAGCGATCACTTTCCCATAGGCGAGTTTTCGCTAGTTAGGTTAGGATTGTTTAGCCAATCAATCAACTGTTTGGTCATAAGTCATTATAAGGCGGATCTGTTAATTGATTTTTGAAAGTAGCTTTTACAGTATGAGAAAGATAGCGGTGGGTGGAAAGAATACGGGATCCTTAAAATATACGGCCTCTAGCAGCATCAAGCATTAAACTTGAGATTTTTAGAAGTATAATGCTACACTATTAAAAAATATCCCATGGATATCCATTTCCATGGTTGAGTTTTTGATTTTGATTTTGGTTTGATTGGGGAGAAAACAGTATTGACTGAGGGATGGAGGGAGGGGGATTAAAAAATTCCAAAAGTTGAAATCAGAGGGGAAAAACTCAAGTTCGTGATTTTAGAGATGTCCAACCATAGTTGAAGCTTTCATATTTCTTTCAATTTTATATTTTCCTCTCGTTTTTTCACTGAGGTCATATATTCATCTACTCATCTAGTCCCAATAATTCAATGTACTTAACGCTACCACTTCTTCTTCAGAATGTGCAAGAAGAATGTTTTAATGTTACGATGAACTCTCAAACCATTTCATCCCAATTATTACTTTCAATTATGTTCAAAATTATTCCATGTGTAGCCTTTAATTTACTATTCTGATAATTTTCAGAAGTTTTATTCCGTATACTTATGTACCCATGAAAGCGTAACCTAAAACCAGCAATCTTCATAACTTGGAGAGAAGTTGAAACTAAAATCCCTCAATTCAAGATCGTTTTAAATACTTTTATCATCAACCTTATTAGCAAATCACCTGATTTCACATTACCTCTAATCTGATGAGATAAACTGACCGAAAGTAATATTCGAGCTCGGTAATGATAAGAAATGAATACGCTAATCTCTGAAGCATGACGCTGAGAAATATCTATAGCAACCAGCGCCGCTGAAAATTTTCACTTCCTTGCCACAAAATTGTTCACTCTCTGTAATGTTTCCTTTCCCAAATTTTACGTGGTACCGACTCTTTTTCACCGAAAATTATCCAATCGTTAAAACCAGCAACGAACGCCAATTTTTAATTTTAAAAATTACTTAAATTCCGAAGTTAATTCTATGAGAGGTGTCTTCGATGAACGTGATTTCGCCGCTGTTCTTCGGGGCCCGTTTCACCGACGAAAAAAATGATAACAGAAATCCAATTCCGTCACCTAGGAAACCACATCTATTTGAATCGCTGCTACAAGCATTCCACGCCGATGTCGAAGATGAAAGGAACGGCCGGCTGATGTGGATCCGGGGCTTTCGCACCGACAAGAAAAATGGGAACAATTCCGCGGATCTCGAGGAACATCCATCCGACACGATTCTTCCCACTAATGGAGGAAGTGAGATCAATGAGCCAGTTTCTGAACCGGTTGGATCCACAACTCCGGTCCGCGGAACCGGTTTCACTGACGAGAAGGGGCGGATTCAACCTGGAGCATCCAAGCTGGTGCAGAACCCGGAAGATGTAGAGGGCTCATCGGTGAGCTTAACAGAGCAAGCTTCAAAACAAGAACCGGTTCTGAAAGAGACGGGTGGAAAGTCGGTCGTTTCAACGTCGAAAATAGAGGAATCAGCATTACCCGATGAGATTATGACTCCCACGGCTGCAATCCACAATCTGACGAAGGAGGACTCGTCAAAAAAGGGATCTTCGAAAGATAAATCTCCCAAAAAAGATTCTTCGAAGGAGGCATCTTCGAAAAACGAGCCTTCGGATGAAAAATCTAAGACAGAGACGCTGAGGAAAAAGTTCTTCGGGAAGAAAGATGATTCGGAAGGTAGTGAAAAATCCTCCGTCTTCTCAATTTTCTCATCAAAGGAGAAGGAAATTCCTCCTTTTTTCAACCAGCTAGGGAGGCAACCCTACGATCTCTTCCACAAAGGTAAAGTGTTAACTATACAAGTAAAATGGGTGCAGCCGGGGGCAACTTATTTTCCCGGTTGAAAGATAAAAATGTAATAAGGGTTACATTTTGAATGAACAATTGGTTCTTCAGAGGAGGAAGTTAAGTGCAATTTTAAGGGCTTATACAATTTTTGGAATCAGCGATTTCTCTCCTTAAATGTTGAAACATTAAAATACCTCCTGCAGCTCATTTATTTAAATTACTAACTGTCGACATTCTCTTATTAAGAACTGAACTGGCGGTGAAAATGACAAATAAATGAATGGAAAACTAAAGCAGTCTACATCTTAACTTCGGGCAATAGAAATTTTCAGAAGCTGCATCTTATTTCTCTAGCAAAATACCTGAGGAAATTTTTTCCCCTTCAGTGTTGATACTAGAAAACACATTGCTGTGTTTTAGAGCATCTATTTGGGTGCTAATACAAAAATTCTCAGACACATAATCATTGAGTGTCAGCATATAAGATTATCAAAATAAATTATCCCTATAATAAAACCTTGACAATACAGAAAAGAACTATCATCAATCGAAGTTCCAAAATAGAAAGGTTGGATATTTTGAAAATGGATTTTCTGAAAATTTAGGATGGTTGATTTTACAATGTTGAAATCAAGCAAACTGATTTTCCGTATAGCTTGGAGTAAGCTGCCTTATTAGAGTAGGAAGAATGCCAGCCTGTAAGAATCAAATATTATTTTTATAGTTGATCTTAAAAGAAAATACAGGGTTACTAATTTACGAGAATCGCTTTTGCGGGCTGATTTATTGAAATTGATAGGCAAAGTCATGTGAAAAGAACACAAACGGAAAATGGGGGTATCCTATTGGTTGAAACGGGTGATTCTTATAGACTTAGGGGAAAATGATGGACAAACTGTACGGACTTCTCCTGGGTTGCCGTTAGTTTGTCCTTATTACCTCCTTTTTCCATTCCACCCACGCACTACAATCAATAAGATCACTCTGTTTTTGTTTTGTCTTCTCTGCTTATAGCTTTGCCTACCAATTTCAATAATCAACCCGCAGTTTACTTGATATTTTCCAAAATTTTTAGTGTCACAGTTGTTGAATGAGTCTGTCACTTTGTTGACGCAGGTTTTGCTTCGGACTTGATGAAACTGGAATTCGACTCAAAACCAGTGACTGACTCTGATTTCAAAGCGTGTGGATTGTGTGGCATTAACGGGTCAAACATTTATGGGTTTGTCGAAGGGAAGAAAACCTTACCTTACCGTGGAGTCGAGGTTGCCGCAAAAATGAACTCAGACAAAGTGATGCTCACAGAGGTATACGTTACTTTTACAGTTGAATATCAAAAAATAAGCGGGTAACAACCACATAAGATTCTTTTTAAAAAAAAGGCCCATCTTTTTATTTAAAGATGGATTTGGTTTAGTGTTTTAGTGGTAAGGCCAGTCGTTTAAGCCTATACAGTAGGATTGAAACCCTTGGGTGGCTGCGGAATTTAATTTTACTGCACCGAAAAAACGTGAAGTTGATTTAACATTCTGGATGTAAAAAAAACGTGAAGTTGATTTAACATTCTGGATGTAAAAAAACGTGAAGTTGATTTAACATTCTGTATGTAAAAAAAACGTGTATGAGAACTTATAAATGCTGAATTACTCGCTACGGCAGTTAATTTTACATCTTGACATTGCCAAAGTAACTGCTGTAGTAGTTAAATCAGTATTTTGTAAGTTTTCGCACATTTTTTTGTACATCCAGAATGTTAAATCAACTTCACTTTTTTTGACTGTGGCAGAACCAAGAAGTGCCGATGGAAATTTTCGGTCAGTACAATCCGTTTCACTCTCAATTCAACCAATTTTTGCAAGAAAAAGGTTCTTTTTAGAGAGAGGGATATTTTTGATTTCTCAAGTTCTGAAGAAAAATAATACCGTACTCAATGAGTAATGCGCCTTGGGGAGGTCCAATTGATGAGCTTCCAGAGGCTTCTCTCCAGCTTTTCTTCTACACCGGGCATTGATTATGACTGTTGGGTATCAGAACATCTTAATTGGCACATTAGACGGTTCTGCACACAATTATGCATTATTCTTTTCATATAATTCTTTTAATTGAAAGATTAAGTTGGTTTAAATCACCGTTTTGAGAACAATGTCCCAAGACTCCATCTTCAATGTATGTCGTTTTAATACTGTACTTCGATCATTATCTCACAGTTCCGAGTGTTTCTCGTAGGCGGATCCAGGAGGGGGGTGCACGCCCTCCCCCACGTTCCGCCGAAAAAAGGAGGTAGAAAAAGAGAAAAAAGAGAAAAGGAAGGTACGGAGAAAAAAAGAAAGGAAATACGCAAGTATTTGTTAATAATTATATCCACGACAAATTTGACTCAAACTGCATTGTAGATGCTTCAATAATTCAAAAAATCTCCAAGAAAGGCCTCCGGACCCACCTTCCGCCCTCCCTCACGCATTTGTGGTGTCTGGATCTACCTATGGCCTGCCTTTCTTCTTATGGACCAAATTATAGTTAGAATTTCCAAAAAATTGGTCGAGCAACATTGGCTCCTTTTTGAATTGTCCTTTCGACAATTGAAAATACGCAACTCTCACAATGCAGTTTTGGCATGAATTTGCAGATAATGCCTCGATTTTTAACGATATCTCGACTTTTCGCAGGTTACAATTCCGACCCTCTGGGAGAAAGCGAAGGTGTCCCTTCAGTTCACGAAGCCACCGTCACCGCGCGATCAGAATTTCGGGATCAAGGGCGAGATGAAAACTGATCACATTGCTCTGAATGGAGAGGCCGAGCTGGTTAAGATGCCATTAGTCAAGATGTCCGCTGTTTTTGGCGCTGGTGGTCTTTATGGCGGAGCTAAATCCGGCTACTATTTTCAGGTATACAAGGGCAGTTGTTAGGAAATGCAGGCTGATTGTTTAACTTGACAGACAAAAAAGACATAAGGAGCATGGAGCGATACTATTAGTTGAAATGGGTGGTTCTTATAGACTAAGGAAGAAAATTATGGACAAACTGAAGGGTCTCTCATTAGCTTGACCGAGTTTATCAGAAAGGAGCCAAGCAGTTTTATTCCTCATAAGACTAAATTTGGAAAGTAAACTTTAACCCCTTATTTTTAGAAACTAATATTTTTTTTTCAGACTCTGAGTTTTTGGCAGAGGGAAATATGCAACTAGACACGGTGGCCTTGAGGCAGGAAAAAAAAATCGACATGAATGTACCTTTAAAATATTTGCAGGGGGTGAATCTACGGTACGTGCGTACTTAGTATCGCGAAAAATCGAAATCCTGGCTGATCCTACTTTCTAGATACTGCAATTTGATATTTTCATAGTAAATGCAGGTTTTCTACGGATTTTGATCAGCAGTTTTATTCCATTGAATCGGTGGTGATCGGTTCACTTTTTTATTCTTCGTTCGATTCATGTCTATCGAATACATACTCTCTCCTTACATGCAGCCATCCTATCATTCTCTTTTTTTTAACTGAACAATTTGCCTCCTGCTGCGTCCGCAGAAATTGTTGTTACGAATATGTTGTGCGTGCCGATCTCGGCTCATTACATACTTGAATTTTTGAAGGCGTTTAATGAGCAAAAGTAGAGCACCCTGTCGGAGATTGAACGAATCAATTAATCCCTATTTCATTCGTTCTCCGACACATCGCGCTACTTGTGCACATAAAACGCCTTCAGGTGGTCGAGTATGTAATGAACTATAATCAGCACGCACAACATATTCGTAACAACAATTGCTGCAGACGCAATAGAGGGCGGATTGTTCAGTTAAAAAAAAAAGAAATGGTAGGATGTCTGCATGTAACGGGAGGGTATGTATTCGATCGACATGAATCGAACGAAAAATAAAAACTTAAGCCGATCAACACAGATTCATTGGACGAAGAAATAAAATAGCTGATCAGCATCAGTAAAAAACTTTTATTCAGTATGAAAATTTAAAAGTGGTGTATCTTGAAATTAGGATCAGCCAAGATTTTGATTTTCCTCAATTTTAAGTCCACACGCACCATAGACTCACCCCCTGCAAACCGTTTTTGGTTACATTTTTGTCGATTTTTTTTTTTTGCTTCAAAACCACTGTGTATGTAGAGGAACTCAAAAATATTCTTATCTCAATTTTTTCGAAAATGTGGGTTGGCTCCTTTCTAATGAACTCGGTCCAGTTGCCGTTAGTTAGTCTATTGCTTACCTCCTTCGTCCATTGCAACAACCCACTTCCACCAATAGGATTCCTTCATATCCTTTTTGTCTTCTATGTCTACCGCTTTGTCTACCAATTTCAACAATCAGCCCGCAGTTTCTAGTTGAATTCAGTCTCTTATCGAGGCAAAACTTTTTACGCTACTTACGTTCGTTGATTTATGCTATTTTTGGGGATTTTGGAGCTTTTCATGATCCGAGTGACATTTTTGGTTCTGGGAATACAAATTGGAACTAAGAGTCTTCTTTCAGTTGAAAAAAAGTACTCAAAGTGCTTGCAAAATGTTATCTAGAAGTTAAAGCAACAAAAGTCAAGCGTAAAAAAAGGTGCTAGAGCCGGACCGCAAGGGAGGCCAATTATGCCGTGCTAGAAAAAACGCCGTATGAGCCTTCAGGCGTTGCCGAATTTCTTTGGACAAATCACTCATATTCAGGAAAATTTGTTGAATCGAAAAATGTTGCTTGGTTTTCCGTTGGAAAAGTAAAATATGATATAGGTAGTAAGGCAACGCATGATGAGAATTAGGCTAATTCTGGCTAAATGTGTTCCACTGATTACTTGCTCATCTGTTTTTTAATATAAATCCTTTTTCAATAAAAATAGAAATACACCAACTTTAAAAATACACTGAATAAAAATTCAATGCCAACCAAATTCAATACTGATGCTGCTTCGAATGGAAAGAAATATCTTAAAAATCGTTCAAATTAAAAAAATTATCCAAAAAAAGCTCTTTCCTTGAGTAATTGTTGAATGCCAGCCCTTACATGAGGAGATCTCTTAATTCAAGAAAGGTTATTGTACCTCTCCCTAAACGTTATCCGAGCGTACAACACTAAATTAAATATACCCACGTATGGATCTAATAATTGAACGTATTTTGACAAGATCTGTAAGGATTGGCAGAAATACGTCCGATTCATGAAGTTATTTGCTCGATTTATTTCTCATGCAAATAAGAAAACCAAACATTCTTACGGCTTGCATCCGTTCTACATCTATCGTTCTTTCTCATTAAAAGTTGTATTACGTTTCTTCACCCAGCGCGGAATCGCTGAAACTCATGAAAATCCAAAATGCCTTCAATTGAACGTGTATGCAACACAGACATCCATCAAGTACGAATAGTTGTATCACGGCGCCTTGTCGCGCGGCAGTCTACGGCTACGCTGCGCTGGCGTGCTGAGGAAAAACGTTGTGCGAGCGTTTGGATATTACAAAATTTAAATAAATTTCTGAAAATAATATGACCTTTCAATTCTTCTACTTGAAATTTGGATGAAGTGCACTGGATTACACAGGAAAAAAAAATCCTTTGAAGATAAAAAGATTTTCAAATTTTTCAGAAAATTCGTATCTTATTGGGATCGATTTTTATTCGATGCTCTTCTTCTGCACGGCAGCACCGTAGTAAGTCTTGAGAATCTGCTTTTATGTTGCCTTTATTATATTAAATTCATTTGCACTACTTAACAAAGTATCGAAACGAAAAAAGAGGTTTTATTTTTTCTCTTCTCTCTTTTTCCCACCAGTTTTCTCACTTTCTGAGATTTCAGGAGAGTTATTGATTTTACTCTTCTCCATTTTCCTCTTTTTGTTTATTTTCCCATGACTTAGAAGCCGTTCGTAAATATTTACGACGTGAATGTTCAGGATAAACAACAAAACACGTTCAACCAGCATTTACTGTGCGGATTTCAGCACGTTTTACTCATGGAGTTTAACGGAATTAGGTCATCGCTATTCCGACCCAAATATCGAACTCCCTTGTATTCGACCACGGTTGACCAATAAAGTAGCTGCGATTATTTGATACACTAGAGAGTATCGTTTTATTAGCATACCGTAGACAAATCTGAATAACTCGTTTGAAAAAAAAAAAAAAAAAAAAAAAAAAAAAAAAAAAGTGAAAAGCGTGGGAATTTGGGACTTTTAAAATGAAACAATACAAATCTTCCATTAAAATAATGACAATTATCTTATTTATACATTTTAAAGATGAAATTTCTTGAGTCCCAGTTACGAGGAGACGGGGCCTGAGGTAATTTCATGCTCAAATCTTGGTAAAAATGAAAGACAAAACGTTAGAAAGCAAGAGTTAGTGGACTGAGGCAGATGAAAGGTTTTCCTTTGAAATTTCGTATAAAGTTCATACATCTGTGTGGACTGTAACTTATGACGCTCATAACGATAAAGGGACCGCGTTTAGCAGAAAGCAACCAAGACTCATCAGCTGTTGTCAAATTTTATTGGCTAATTCAACTTTTTTTGAGAGAACGTTTGTGCGGATGTCTTTGAAAATTTTAAGAAATTTGTTTCACCTCATGCAGAAAATTCACTGAAATTTGCAAACCTGCACAACAGATTTCATGTAAAAATTAAATTGCCCGATCAAATCCGGCAATTGCTGATGTGGCATGGGTTCTTTCTGCTTAACGCGGTCCAAATGTCATTTCAAGATTTTGTGTCGCGAGGAAGGATGTTTTTTGGGATTTTGTTGATAAAATTTTCTGCAAAGCCAAAAAGTTCCAACAATATCAATTCAAGTTAACGTTTTGGAGCTCTACTTTCATCACCTTGTTACATAGAGTTCAGGACATTTCTCAGTATTTTTTTTCTAATGGACCACAAGACAAGGTACGAATTTCAGCATTCTGATACATGCCTCTTAACTAAAATTGCACGTAGAACACGATGCGCACAACGAAAATGACCGAAATCAACTCCCTGCGAAGAAATTAAATGCTTATTGATGCGTCAATTCAAACCACCCGCTCATGAAAACTCGATGCCCTACGTGATTCACACCCCGCGCTAAACGGTATCATGACAGTCTCTGCGATATAGAAATCTGGCAGCCTCAATCTTGACGCTTCGGCTCAGCTATAGCAAATTGCTTATAATGTGAACAACACATGGTGGGAAATGAACATTGCTCGGTTGAGTAGCTTGCTGAAACCGTTGCAGTGCGCGATTTGACTTACGTAGAGCTTTGAGTTCCTCATGAGCGGGCAGTTTAAATTCCCTGTAAGCGATGTGAAATAAAAATATTAATATCTTCGTTAGGAGTTGGTTTCAATAATTTTCGTTTCGTGAATCGTGTTCTGCGTGGACACATGTATCAGAATGGAGCATGGCAGGAACACATGCAGGAACACGTATCAGAATGCTTAAATTTGAACCTTGGTTATTGATCCATTACGAACCTCTCCGCACAGTCTTTGAGCTATTGCCCATCCTCCTAGTCAACTTCGGTTCCTCACGATTTTTACTCTGAAATCTTTTTTGGGACGGATTGCAGGACCGGCGTTTCGGGCCGAGCCAGCTGCTGATGAGCTGGTCGCGGAACAAGACCCACTTGACCGGCGGCGTGAAAGTGGCCAACATGGAGCAGCCGCAGTCCTCGCCGAAAACGGTCTCGGGCGCCATCTGCCGGCAGCTCTCGGACAAGCTCGTCTCGGGGACTGAGGTGAGCTGGAACGCCACGACGGACGGCCCAGTGGGCAGCGTCGTCCTCAAGTACCAACTCCCCTTCGACGCCTCCCTCCGGGCCAAAGTCGACAGCTTCGCCCGCGTCGGCCTCTGCTACTCCCAGGTCCTCGCCCAGGGCGTCACCCTCCACGCCTCGGTCCTACTCGAGGGCGGCAACATCAGGACCGGTGACCACAAGTTTGGGCTCAGCCTGGAGGTTAACTCTGGGTCGTAGGTATGCTCAAGGAAGAANCGAATAGTTGTATCACGGCGCCTTGTCGCGCGGCAGTCTACGGCTACGCTGCGCTGGCGTGCTGAGGAAAAACGTTGTGCGAGCGTTTGGATATTACAAAATTTAAATAAATTTCTGAAAATAATATGACCTTTCAATTCTTCTACTTGAAATTTGGATGAAGTGCACTGGATTACACAGGAAAAAAAAATCCTTTGAAGATAAAAAGATTTTCAAATTTTTCAGAAAATTCGTATCTTATTGGGATCGATTTTTATTCGATGCTCTTCTTCTGCACGGCAGCACCGTAGTAAGTCTTGAGAATCTGCTTTTATGTTGCCTTTATTATATTCAATTCATTTGCACTACTTAACAAAGTATCGAAACTAAAAAAGATAATTTATTTTTTCTCTTCTCTCTTTTTCCTACCAGTTCTCTCACTTTCCGTGGAATCAGGAGAATTATTGATTTTACTCTTCTCCATCTTCCTTTTTTGTTTATTTTCCGATGACTTAGAAGCCGTTTGTAAATATTTACGACGTAAATGTTCAAAATAAATAAAAAAAAAACACACGTTCTGACAGCATTTACTGTGCGGATTTCCGCACGTTTTACTCATGGAGTTTAACGGAATTAGGTCATCGCTATTCCGACCGAAATATGGAACTTCCTTGTATTCGACCGCGGTTGGCCGACAAAGTAGCTGTGATTATGTGATACACCAGATGGTATCGTTTTATTAACATACCGTAGAAAAATCTGAATAACTCGTTTGAAAAAAAAAATAAAAAGAAGCGAAAAGCGTGGGAATTTGGCACTTTTAAAATGAAACAATACACATCTTACGATTATCTTATTTCCACATTTTAAAGATGAAATTTCTTGCGTCTCAGTTACGAGGAGACAGGGTCTGAGGTAATTTCATGCTCAAATCTTGGTAAAAATGAAACACAAAACGTGAAAAAGGATGAGTTAGTGGACTAAGGCAGATGAAAGGTTTTCCCTCGAAATTTCGTAAAAAGTTTATATATCTGTGGTGAACTGTAACTTATGACGCCTCTAACAATAAATGAACCGCGTTTAGCAGAAAGGAGGCAAGGTTCATCAGCTGTTGTCAAATTTAACTGGCCTATTTAACTTTTTTCGAGAGAACGTTTGTGAGGATGTCTTTGAAAATGTTAAGAAATTTGTTACACCATTTGCAGGAAATTCACTAAAATTTGCGTAAAAACCTTCATGCACGACCGTTTTCATGTAAAAAATTAAATTGCTCAATCAAATTCGGGAGTTGCTGATGTCGCATGGTTTCTTTCTGCTTAACGCGGTCCAAATGTCATTCCATGATTTTGTGTTGCAGGGAATGAGGTTTTCTGGGATTTTGTTGATAAAATTTGCTGCAACGCCAAAAATTTCCAACGATATCAATTCGAGTTAACGTTTTAGAGCTCTACTTTAACCACCTCGTTACGTAGAGTTCAGGACGTTTCTCAGTATTTTTCTCCTAATTACGAACGCTGGAAAAAAAAACACATTGAATCTAGAGTCCAGACTCTTGAAAACATTGACAAGAAAACGGACTCTTGATTCAATCAGATTTAAGCTTAAATCAAAAGGAAATCCGCTCAAATTAAGAGGCTTGGTTCTTGATTTAAGCTTAAATCTGATTGGATCAAGAGTATCTTTTCTTGTCGATGTTTTTAAGAGTCTGGACTTTAGATCCAATGTGTTTTTTTTCCAGTGAACCTCTCCGCACAGTCTTTGAGCTATCGCCTATCCTCTAAGTCAACTTCGGTTCCTAACGATTTTTACTCTGAAATATTTTTCTTGGGACGGATTTCAGGACCGGCGTTTCGGGCCGAGTCAACTGCTGATGAGCTGGTCGCGGAACAAGACCCACCTGACCGGCGGCGTGAAAGTGGCCAACATGGAGCAGCCGCAGTCCTCGCCGAAAACGGTCTCGGGCGCCATCTGCCGGCAGCTCTCGGAGAAGCTCGTCTCGGGGACTGAGGTGAGCTGGAACGCCACGACGGACGGCCCAGTGGGCAGCGTCGTCCTCAAGTACCAACTCCCCTTCGACGCCTCCCTCCGGGCCAAAGTCGACAGCTTCGCCCGCGTCGGCCTCTGCTACTCCCAAGTCCTCGCCCAGGGCGTCACCCTCCACGCCTCGGTCCTACTTGACGGTGGCAACATCAGGACCGGTGACCACAAGTTTGGGCTCAGCCTCGAGGTTAACTCATGAGTCGTGGGTACACTGGTACACTGAAAAGAAAGATTGGTAGAATTTACCGTTCCTTAACGCTGTATTCTACACAGCGTGAATTCAAAGTCGATTCTGCCAGAGAAATGGTTACCTGTACCAGTGTAAAGTATCGTTTACCTTTATTCTAAGAATTGACTCTAAATTGACGCTGTGTGAAAAACAGCGTGAAGGAATGGTAAACTCTGCCAATCTTTTTTTTCAGTGTATGCTCAAGGAAGAACGCCGTATAAACACTCTAATGCTGCCATATTTATCCTGATAAAATACAATTTTTTTTATGAAACGCACATCTAGTTTTTTCTTCGTAATTTTCAGAGAATTATATCACAATTATTTTGATCTGTACAGTTTTTGGGAAGTTTAAGGAGAAATTAACTGGAAAAGTGCACTCGGACAATTTTGAGTAAGTTAACCGGGCGGGATTTTCAAGGTTTTGCACGTTTTTTTCTCAAAGTCCCCCGTCCCTCGTCCCCCGGGTCGTTACGCAACGCTGGGTTTGGACCCTCCCCCACAAAGTGCGTTACGTAATACTTGTAGCGTAGTACTTAAAGGTCTCACCTTAAAATTGAAATTCGGGAAAGGGAATTTCGCATCGTCGAAAGGTAGGTACGTCCTTTCGTTGGCCGATGCCAAACACGGGCTCGAGCATAATGCACCGAGCGAAAATTCAAGTTATTACGGAGCCCGTCAATATTTTTATGCGCCCATTTTTCCTCGCCGCGTGCGGTCTGATTTAGATAAAAGGAGCCGTTCGGGGGGAAATTCAATTTTTCCGCGAGGAGATAAGATACCTTTATGCGAACCCATAATATACTCCGCGGTGCGTTTACAACTCCCAATAGCGCGTTAGAATCTTTGCACCGAGGGGCGGCGGGGCGGGGGGGGGGGGCG